GGGGGGGGGGGGGGGGGGGGGGGGGGAAGTTGGCACAACATTTTCAGAATACATAGGCCTAAGTGAGTAGCGTTTATTTCAATACATAACATTGATATGCATTGACATTCTAACATTTAGTGGCAATATGGGAGTCAAATGCCACCCCCCTCCCCAACACTGATTCGACGCCTGAATACAATATAATAATAAATATATTGCAAGTTTGTTTCTTTTTTTTGCTGGAGATTAAATGAAGTCTCATCGTTTACAAACTGCAGATCTTTAAACCGTTGCAAGTTCATAATCGGTCAATCGTGAATATCAATTAAGATAATTCATCCATTATTAATATGTGCTATATGAAAATAGCCTGAGGCCGAAATGATAGACAACAATAAACAGTGATATGAACGTGTACTTAAATATAGCCTCGGACGATAGTTACATTTATTGCGCATATGCGCACATGTGCAATGCCATTGTATGCTAATATTGTTCCCATGATCACATAATTATTAATAATACAACTTTGAACACTGTAATTCAAAATTCTCTCAAAAAGGACATTTATAAAGAAATTAGTATATAGAAGTAATTAGAAATAAACACACAGGTAATTATATAGAAGCACACACAATAGGATAAAGCTTCCATCAGATTCGAGATGCCCTGGTATGGCCTAATTTGCGCTAGTAATAAGATCGTGTTATAACTATTGGGAAAAAATACAAAAGACACGATTAAATTAGTATACGACTGTGTTTTAAAACCAATTTATGATCAATAAGGCTTAAGATCCCAGTTCTTTGCTCTATGGTTTAACAGTCATTAAATTATTAAGGCCTATCAGTTAAAGGCAAGCTCCGGAGGGAAAAACAGTTGATATGTTATACTAATGATTTTTCTAGGAAACGAAAAGGGTGTCGACAAAAAAAATCGGAAAAAGTTAATTAGATACATATTTGAATATTTAAAAACTGGGGTAAAAGGGGCGTAACCACCATGTTTCCACTTTTTCCTCCAGTTTTTAAATATTCAATTAAGAATCTGTATCGCATTAATAGTTCATTAAGGTTTTCTTCAGACACCCTTTTGTGTGTTAGAAAAATAAGTTTTACAACATATCAATTTTGTTTTCCTCCGGAGCCTGGTTTCAATACAGCAAATGGGATTCGGGGGCTCACATCCGTGAAGGTGAAGTCCAGGGTTCGAACCCCTCCGTGCACCTTGAATGTCCTTGACCCACGTATTATGTCTTTCTCTTAGAGGTATACCTCGGTATACCTGGTAAATCGAACATCAATGCGCTGATTACTGGCTGCAATATCATTAAATTTACTCCAGGGAGCCATATTATGTGTTTTCCATAGATGTTTGATCAAAAGATACTAGAGTAATATAAAGTAAAGCGCTTTGAGGCCTTGCTGGGCTGATCGCGACATATTACAATGAATTAAAGAAAGAGAGGATAAATATGTCGACTATAATTTTACTATCATTAGTTATATTTACACTCGTGTGCACTCGAAAAAAACAAAAACAAAACACCGGAGCGTATCTTTAAGGGGTATAGGGTTGTTACGGCAAATGACAATTCGAAGAGGGCGTTTATTCAAAGGGCGTTAATTACAATAACTACTGCTTATTGTATTTTCTAGATTTAATAATATTGAAAACGTGCAAAACCATTAACATAATTAATAAAATAGGCTATATTTACTTACCTATGGAAAAGAATAAATGTGTATGTGTATCGTATTGCATTGTCTTTGATTTAATCCAACTACAAAAGTGCAAACTGTTGTTGATATTAAGTAAATGCTGTTTGAATGTGGATGAATGTAATTATCATGTATAAATACGGTATGGCATTGTGTATAAGCATTATCTAAATTGAATAAAATATATTTACTTACCACATAAGTTAAAGAATACGAGTATGTATATCCACCGTTCCTCCATCGTAAAATGGAGTTTATGTCTGTGAAGAGACAGAGCATAGTTATGATGAGAGATAGCTGTAACTAATAATGTTCAGTGAATGCACACACATCACGGTATTTAATTTGAAAGCTACATATTGGCAACTATATCTCGATCCGGTAATAATTATTGTTGGATCAATCAATACAAATTCGTTTTCTTACTTACAGTATTCATAGAATTACATAAATGATTCATGTTGTAATATCCCAATGTTTTTTACAACGTTATTAAAATATACACCGCGCCGAGCTTTAGTATTGTGAGAAAAAGAAACCTACACACGATTCGCTGTTTTGCAGTAGAAAAATTGAATATGTACAACCACAAAACTAAACCAGCAAATGTGCATGATTATGGAAGACAAAGAACTACGCATGTTTGTAAGTAAACTGCTATGTTGGACGCAATACATGAATCATTATTGGTGGTAATTTTATATCATGTAGCGGAGCGGATGACTGTAGGGGCGAGTGACTCGCATCACAATGGTGCGCGAAATGCGCACGAGTAAGTTTACAGTAGGTGGAAAGATAGGTACTAGTACAAGCTTGAATGAGTTAAATTAGTCTTATAAACGGTGTATAGGGCGCACAGATGAATGTGAAGCGTGATTTTCATAGAATTGCTACACAGTCGCTACACCATTCTGACTGCAATCCTTGCACTGGGTAGCTGTCCCTGACGCAATCGGGAACGCGCCCTGAGTCAACTGACCAATCAGGGTCGCCAATGTAGCGATCTCTATGGAAACCAGGCATACAAGAGTGAAAGATCCAGATTAGTCTATTTGCTCAATGGCGCTCTAACGGATGGGGGGAGCGCACGCCTTCAAAAACGCCTCCCCAGGTGCTATCAGTAGAATGAGCAAAACACATTACGCTTAAGTAGTTAAAAATCACTTCATATCACCTTACTTCGCCAGGTAAAACGCCCTATTGATTTCCCCACTTAACCTTTGACCTCCCCTTCATCAGCCCCATGTCAATACTTCTAGGTACGTCACCGATTTATCCCAGGGCCGTCCTCACAACCAGACTTTCTTCTGATTCATTATTTTATGTTATCTGTTTTTCGATGCAAATCCAAATCCCATAAACCTTTTTATTTTCAGCAAATTGTGCCACACTTGAATAGCTTTCCTTTAGCAATTTGATCAGATTCTTTTTTTTTTTATCTTTCAAAAACAAAGTGCTGGAATTTTATAACACTTAAATTAAAATAATTTTTCCTCCTGATAATACCTACACATGGGATTCGTTTTCTCACGCTGTAGTTAATTGCTGATTTAAAAAAAAATAACTTTTTTACTGTTATTTGCAAATTGGACAGATTTTTATTTTTGATATAAATTATATTTATTTTTTAATTTGATCTATTTCCTGCGGTAAGATGTCGTTGTTGAGGCGCTGGCAGGTGTATTTTTGATCCAGTGAGAGTTGAATAAAATAAATAAAAGAAAGGTTGCCAGGACTTACATGGTAAGTGAAGGACAGAATGGCCGTATTCAACTGGTCGTTCTTCGTTAAACCACGACCACCTACTGTTATTTGCAAATTGGACAGATTTTTATTTTTGATATAAATTATATTTATTTTTTAATTTGATCTATTTCCTGCGGTAAGATGTCGTTGTTGAGGCGCTGGCAGGTGTATTTTTGATCCAGTGAGAGTTGAATAAAATAAATAAAAGAAAGGTTGCCAGGACTTACATGGTAAGTGCAGGACAGAATGGCCGTATTCAACTGGTCGTTCTTCGTTAAACCACGACCACCTGCGCAGTAGTAAAATCCTACTTAACGAAGACGACCAGTCGAATAGAAAACTGGTAAATACTCGACAAAACAAAATGGCTGCATAGTTACCGCGATACACGCTGCGTAATCAAGAATGCTTCGTGGCAGTATGGGTTTTTCGTTAAAAAAAAATGGTTTCATCCAGTTTTTGAATTCTGTTAGCCTACAGTTATTTTTCCAATGTGGGTAAATATTATAATTTTTATTTTCTAAAATTTAATCTAAATTATATTAACGCAAAACTTTGTTGCTAAACTGACCAATCGGCCATATTTGTTTTGGTCACGTGCATAACTTAACGCTGATTAACGCATTTTGGTTACGTTAATTTTCTTTGTCAACGAAGTTTATTTTACGAACCAGTCGAATGAATATAATACTCAACGAAAATTCGTATTCAACAAAATGAACCAGTCGAATAAAGCCCAATACGTCAGATTACTTAGATTATTTGTGCTAAAGGGATTTACGAATTGAATGAGTCAGACTAATATATCGGTGCAGGAGTACGCACGAATTATAGATGTAGGCCTATCTGGAGGGACGGGTAGCGATTTTTTTTCCGTACGAAACATTTACATGAAACTCCACTCGGGCCGTCTCGACTGAATCGACCCGAAAATCTCATACATATTGCAGAATTCAGGAGGTCAAAAGGTCATCAACAGATAAACGTCTGCAAACAACTTCTGAGAGAACGTCGCTGTCTAATTTTTAAAAATACATTGATTTTGCCGTGCTCAGAATACTAATGGGTCGTTTAAAATGACATAAAATATTTGATTGAGCTGCACGAGTAATGAAAGGTGTTATTTTAACTTGAGTTACATACTGTGACAATTTTTATTTTTTAGTTAGGTCTGGGTTTTGCATACCTGGGCCTAGACCTACTAACTCACTAAAAATATACGGCTTTCTGGGGAAAGCACAGAGGAAAAGCGCGTTTCTTCATCAAATGAACCAGGGTGACAGTTATTTTCAAATTAAGAGAAGAGCTGAGAATAGGCAGCTCTAAAATAGATGGCATAAGACCTGTCAAAATGGCAGAGCACCAATGAATGTATAAATGAGGCCTAAGTAAGCCTAGTTATTAATATCAGGCATAGTAATCTGCAGGTTCTTGATTACAAGGCTAGACCAAATTAATTACTTGTAATGCCGAAATGATTATTTTATTATTATTATTATTATTATTATTATTATTATTATTATTATTATTATTTATTATTATTATTATGTTACTAAAACCAACCTGTAGGCCTACCTTAGGGGAACTTAGACAATGGACGGAGCAGGGAGTAACAACTCCCATGGACGGAGGAATTAGAGAACAATTAAAAAATCGACGTTAAGGGGAAATAACACAAAAGATATTCCCCTTGGGCTAGTTATTAATTATAGGCCTAGTAAATAGTATGGTTCTTCAACAAAGCTTAGGCCAAGGTAATTAATGCTGAAATTATTATTATTATTATTATTATTATTATTATTATTATTATTATTATTATTATTATTATTTAACATTAGTTACATTACAACGATAGTACAGTACTTTGGCCAAGTTCAGTAACGCCGGATTTTGTATTACTGTACCGTACCTATCTACACTTTATAAAAGGGGGTACTAGCTGTTGTTGTAGATATTATACTAACATTTAATAACATCAAGAAGGTCACAGTTATTTACACACGTACATCCCAAAAATCCGTTAAGATATCATCATGGTTCATCATCATAGGCCTACCGTAGGTAAACATAGAAAGAGCAATAATAGTAAAACTCGAGCGTCACGACATTGCGAAGTGTCTGCTCTTGTTCCTCGTATCGAACTCAGTCGAGTAAATCCGAAATGGCCCGAGTGAAGTTTCATGCAAATGTTTCGTACGGGAAAAAAAATCGCGGACGGGTAGGAGTGAGACTACTACTAAGCGTATACTGGTGCCCACGAATGTGTTATCTTGATGGATGGGTACAAGCTTAAATGAATGTACTGCTGGAAGGATGGGTGCATGTTCCAGTGAAAGTTTACTTTTAAGGGTGCACGGGTGTGATCATGGACGAATTAGTTTTAGGAATTAGTCTAAACTAATTCCTCCATGGCGTGATGAATGTTCTAGAATGACGGGTGCATGTTTCAGTGATACAGTATTACTTTTAAGGGTGCACGGGTGTGATGAACGAATAAATATATCTGGAGGGATGGTAGGATCTTAAATTAGTCAGACGTGTCTTACTGAAGAGTCGCGTCGGCTTTATTCGAATGGATGTACTGGAAGGATGGACGCAGTCTGAATGAATAAGACCACTTTTATTAAATAGGTGTAAGGTTGCATATCATACGAATGGGTACCTGGAAGATGGGTGTGTAGACTTGAATGAGTGAGACTGATTTTACTACGATTGCCTTGGCAAACACGAATGAATGTAGCTGGAGGGATAGGTACAGAAGTCACTAAGTCATTTTACTTTGAGGGTAGGCCTACAGGTACACGCGTGAACACGTGTGATAAGTTGGAAGGATAAATTAATCCTTTTGGGTGCAAGCGTGAGCACGTATTACCGTAATGAATTTAGGCCTATGGTGGAAAAATGGGTGCAGGCTAACTACTATACACTTCCATTTTCAAGAAGGTATTTTAACTCCTAAAGAAACATCCTAATAACGAATGTATGTATCTTGATGGGTGAAAGACTTAAAACTGTACTTTAACTAGGCCTATATAAGGCTGCCTGGGCATACAAGAATGAATGCAGTTGAAAGGAAAAATACAGAATGAATGAGGTATTTTACTGCAGTGAAATAATATATCTGGAATGATGGGTGCGTGCGTGCGCATCGTCTTAATGTGGCTATGAAGGCGGAGACTCCATGGCTTGGCTTGTTTTCTTGATACGTAAAATACACCAAGGATAAACCAGACCAAGAAAGCCTTACATACGAACGGATGTGCATTAAAAACAGAAGCGAAATGTGAACTATCCCTGTACTCAAGTCATGTAGGACGTATTTATATTAAAACTTTGGAAATGTGTAATATGGGGCATGTGTTGGTTGAGCTGTCTGGCTGATATAATACAGATCAATATGAGTAGTATTTTTCTACTTATACTATACACGTCAACATATAATATTGAAGACAGAGAGCAATATTTATATTGGAATAATTATTACATGGGTTTGGAAAACCAAATGTTTCATGCGATGTGAAATCATGAAGCTGGTAGCAAATATACGGCATAGGCCTAGATGGGTCAAGTCTGAAAGACACTTTACAGTACTTCACACTCAATATAAATGTGGGACAATATATAGGTCAATATACTATATAGTTTATAGCGGTGTAATATGTGGACCTATATATAGTGGGGCAGCTGGAAGCCTTGACATGGTGGTGCTGATGGGGGCGAAGGTGAAGTGGGGGAGGGGGGTCGATGATCAGTTGAGGGGCGCTAATTCGCAAAATAAGGTCACTTTCGGTGATTTTTAACTACTCGACTGTGATTTCTAGGGGGCGACGGGTGGGAGGCGAGAGTATTCCGCCCCCCACCCCCGCACCCCTTGGAAACGCCACTGCCTATATACTGTATATATATTTATATACAGTATATATTCTGTGGTGGAGTCAGCCTTAAAGCCCTTTGGGCTTATTTGGCTTCTAAAGACACAATTGCATTAGATGTTGTTTGTCTATATTATGTTTGTCTTGTTTCCATGCATTGTATGCATTTTGTAAATAAATATGAACCTGAATAGATGTGTATAAGAGACAGGGCAAGTGCAGGACAGAATGGCCGTATTCAACTGGTCGTTCTTCGTTAAACCACGACCACCTGCGCAGCGGTAAAACTTAACGAAGGCGACCAGTCGAATAGAAAACTTGTAAAGACTCGACAAACGAACGTAATCCGAATCGAACTCTAGAGCAATAGAGTAAACATACATATACATTATTATGTTTATCAATTATAAAACTTACACCAGTCGTGACTTTACATACAGTAAAACAGTCACTTTTAAGTAGCCTTATCATCACCAGTCGTAAATACAACTATCCTGAAATATTAACTACATATTGGTGTTTGTTGGCTTAAATTAAAAAACATCTACTAACCTCTTGCTCAGATGAAGATATCACTTTTGTTGAGTCGTGTATTGACTGTGACTGTTATTTCAATCAGCTTATGGACGCCCAGACTCGCATCATCACAGGGCGAAAGCTTTCATTAATATCCAATTTGTTCTGCGCAAGTTTTAGGCAACCCTAATGTATTCTCTTCTTTCCCTTCTGAAAGAGTTGATGACCGTCATCGTTAGCGAACACGTGTTCAAATCAAGATTCTCGAATGTTTTTCTGAAATGTCTCGGTAAGCGCTGTGAGACCAATACTGGTTATCGATCGCTAATATTTTTGCCGCTCATCTATCTACTAAATCACCTACGTAAATAAACTACCTCATAACGGACTCATGGCGTCGCAGTTCGCGTACCGTGCGTTGAAAATATGTCGTTGCTTCGAAGCACTTAGCTTAAACACATGTAGTCAATTTTGCTCACCATACGTGCTAACTAGAAGCACTTAACATGAAATTTTCTCTCGAGAAATGTAATTCATCACCCACAATGATGAACATCCGCACGCGGAGCTAGTCTGTAAGTGTTCTGGTTTTCAATCGTATGGCCGTTTTGCATGCAGAAAACGTATACAACCAACTTTGATAATCAAAATACGTCTAGAAAAGAAAAAAAAATTATCAAATTATCAGTCAGATGTATAAAATAGCGTTACCAAGCATGCATAATGAATTCATAATGATAACTCTATAAAAACAGTCTGTTTTCATTAGTAAATTCATTAGCCCTACATATTATACGTGGTATGTGCTAGCCCATATTCGCCCCACTCTCTAAACCTTCCATATAATATAGATTATCTCCCAACTGTATTTTGAAGGCCAGCCTAAGTCACAGGTCAATCGTCCTCGACCTTATATCCTGGCACCACCCTGAAATAATTCAAAATTGAATGCAAAAAGTAACTTTAGACAAAATAGGCTGAACTATAAACTTAGACCGGATACCTTTTGTATATCAGACCTGAAAATGGTTCACTGTTGCCAGAATAGAGCACATACTTACGTGTGTTTGTGTTGATCACATACTCCCTTCAGGTCTTTATCGAACTACCATCCAACTTGTATCGACACGCTTGTTTTCATAATTAATAACAGAAAAACGTTGTATATCTACACAGTTCAAGGAGCAATACTTGTTTTTAAATACTTCATCGCATTACAATAACGACACTAACTCCAATAATTGACTACATTGAACGTACTTTCTAGAAAAAATAACAATCGAGGTGCGTGAATATCTTGCAAATGAAGTGTAAAATTCCAATATTAAGAGCGTACCCCCCGACGCTTGTTATATAGCCAACTTTGACATATGTATTAATCCATCTATTTAGATAATGTATGCTCTGTATTAAAACAATGTGTGATTTGTACCGGTGGTTGATCATCGATAAATTTTATTTATCACATCTTACCTAATTACAAAGATGAGAGAATGCTTTGACGCGCTTATCATTTCGTACACGTGAGTCGCAAAGTAAGAAAAATGTATTCCGATATTGGAAGTTTTAGTTGTTGTATTGATGACGCTGTTTTTTTTTTCGTGTTGGTAGAATGACAAACCAATGTTTAGAGCTGAAACCATGGTTACGATCTAAAAACTTCGACACTTGACGTTCATCAACAATGTGAATCGATACTTAATTTGGTTAGGTTACTAAGCTTGACTTCATTAATTTTGATCAGGGTTAATTCATTATCTGATGACATTTACAGATATACTTCAAGTCTGAAACAAACGTTCCTAGTTTACCAATCAGGTAAATAAGGCATTACAAATTATTCATACAAGGCAGAAAAACAGGATAATAATTAGTTCAAATCTGTACATTGATAATGTTACAGTTATCAGGTTCGCTTATAATATTTTTTGCAAGTTATAAGACTGTATAATAATAATAAATAAAGATAATGATAATAAAATGGGGTTTATTACAATAGTAATTGTATAGGCATATAGCAACAACAATAAATATAAGCTTCCACTTCCAAATACAGGCGACTATTGGCAATCTTTTGTGGCCATTTTGCTTAAATAATGTATAGGCCTACAAATGAAAATACAATTCTATGATATATAAAATAATAAGTAAGTATGCTGCTCAACGAAATAATCTTATTCACAGACATCTGGGACCTTTTTGATTTTAAGTTAAAAAAAAATCTTTATTTAAATTTATCAGATTTGCCCGTTTAACCATTAGTTAAAGACAATAGGCCTAGCCTACATGCTTAAATGGAAAACAAAATTGCATGCTATGAAATTGGTGAAAAATATATTTTAAGTAAAAATCGTTTTTCTATTTTTAATTAAGCACCAGTAAGTAAAATTAAGTCAAGAATGGTCCCTAGTCTTTAAGGACATCTTCTTGTAAAGTGACTGCAGCGTATAACCTCTTGTTGCTAGAAAAAAAAATGGGTACAGACTTATATAGCACTTTTAGGCATATTATAATGATGCTATTTGACAGTTGAAAATTAATTACATCAGCCTTTGAAACGAAGTTATTTATTGTCATAATCCATCATTTTATTTTATTTATTTCAACAATATTTTGTGAGGGTGGTCCATTCAGTCTAAGCTGATCAATTGGGACCCTCAGTACATACAATTAGAACATAAGTATAAAAATTAAACTAGATCTTTAAAATAAACAAATTAATTAATTAAAAGCAGGAAAACAATTATTAATAATAATAATAATAATAATAATAATAATAATAATAATAATAATAATAATAATAATAATAAAAATAATAAGAATCAGAAAAAGCCTATCTGGCCTAAAGTATAAAAATTATATAAAATAATGTTTTAAGGAAAATATTAAAGCAAGAAAAAAAAAGGGAAAAAATAAAATTGACACATTATACAGAAAAATAATTTAAATAACAAATTAATCAAAAAATTAACGAGAAGATAATTAAACTAACAAAAATAGAAAAATTCAAAATAAACTGTTTTATAAAAGATAAGTAATTTACTATACAAAACAGAAGAAAATCAACATTAAAAAATATTGCAACAAAAAGAGATGGCTACATCATTAAACCTAAAATCCACCAACAGCTTGTGTTTGTGCTCTTAGCATCAACATATTTAAAGTTTTTATTTTTGTAAGTTTTTTGTTACAGTATTGAGGTCGCTGCATGGAGTGTACTGTATGGAGGTATTATTCATGACTGTAACCAATTCTGGGTCTAGGAGCCATCTTCATTTATATTTGTGATCGAAACAGCGCCACCTCTATTGAACTCCAACCCCGGCGAAAATAATCTGAATGGACCGATTTCTGTTGTAACCATCTAAGTTTATATTAGTTTAGGTAAGGAATTATCAATCTTTTAATATTTTTTTAATTGCAACTTTATCTTTAAACTTTAAAATGCTTTTACGTTATAAATATAGGAGGGTATGGTTCTTTAGGACACGTTTGAAGCTCTACGTCTAGGCTAGCTAGGCCTACGCCTTGCTTGGCTTGTTTGGTTGGCTTGGCTGGGTAGCCGGTTGTGGCTCCGCTCCTTTCGCTGTGTCTTCCTGTCCATTGTGCATTCCCTTTATGCGTTTGTTCACTTAGTGATGTGGTTGAAACCATAATAATAAGATCTAGGCCTAGTGCCACTGTCAGTGGCTGGTGCACCTCCTCTATGCCTAAGAGAAAATTCCTCCGGAAATAACCAAGATAAAAAGTTAAAAATTGCTACAAATACCATCGAAATTTGGGTAGCCTTAGATAGAGTGTTATGTGCCCCACAAAATATCCCAAAGCATTGTGCGAAAATAGATTTTCGCTTTTTCAGAGGGGTGTATCTTATTCTTTAATTAAAGAAGGAAGTCAACAGGAAACATGTGATGAATATGCTTATGCTACTACATATAAAAAGTTTGCAAGGTAATCAGAGCAATAATGTCATTAATGAAGGTATGATGAGGTCCTGAACATGGTTGCAGGACCATTGACCCTAAAAATACCCCTTACTTTGACCGACCGGTCACTGATTATTAATTATGAAATTTATACCAGTACACAGATACACATACACGGTATCATCATTGTAAGTAGAAAGTTTTTAAACTTTGTTTCTTAACTCCTTCTGTGTGAACTGATTTTTTTGAAAATAGACAGATTTCCGTGTATTATAAATATCAGGTCAAAGTTCAAGTCACAAATACTGACTGCAATACGAGTGATGTGTCATCCCAGAACACATGCAGAGAGGAGACATTGCATATAGGCTGTACACGCGGTGCATATTGTAACACATTCAAGATACTGTAGGCCAACGTTCATACAGTACAGTAAATCTGAAAAAAAATTTAATCAGTAGATTTACTCACATCATCCTCACATCGATGTGTTCTTTCCATTGAATTAATGCGAAACTACATTTGAAGTCAATTGAAGGATATACTTTTTTGAGATATTCCCTGCACAAAAAAAAAAAAAAATACTGTACTGGACATTGTGGCAGTGTGGACAGATTTCTAGGCCTAATTTTTGTGCGGAGGATGTATATTCCCCTGTGCAGGCTGTACTATTACAGTCTGGTCCATCCAGGCCAGTGACCACCACCCCAGGCCAACAAGTTAGGCCATACATGTAGCCTATGGCTTAACCTAACTCTTTATATGACTTATGTACAAATATATGTAATTAGTATTAATAACAGTACAGTATACAGTATAAAGTACTAATATATGTATTATAATTTGATATGACCTCAGGTGTATGAACAAGTTGGTGAGATGGCACAGTTTGGAGCTGGTTCAAGGAAAGATCCACCTTGGGCTGCCATGGCAGCTGCTGGCCAGAGTGGCTTAGGTAAGTTAATTCCTCAACTGTATGATGCAATGTTCTCCCGAAGCCTGTTCTCCCGAAGCTGTTTTACCCGTCAATTTTACCAGTAAAAATAACCAACCAGTAAAAATTGTGTGTTGGTAGAATAAAAAAGCACTTATAGCCTAGGTAGCCCAGGCTGGCCTTCTTTCAATAGTTGTACATCATCCCAGTCCAGGCCTAGGCTGTGATTATATGTATTGTTTTTTTGAAGCCATTCACGTTGCACACGTTTAGCTGGCTTTTTGTGGAAGAATTTACCAGTAATATTTTTTCGAAATTGGGATGATTTTTAAGTGTGAAGGAATTTGTGATGCTAAATCAAAATACTGTACCACTATCTGTAATGTGGTGAACTATTAAAATTGTGTATTTTAGTTTAAAGAAATTTGAGATACATATTTTAATTAAATTTTTATACAGTATTTCTGTAAACAAAACATGGAAATAGCATTAAATAAATAAGTATAAATTGTATTTAATATCATGATCTAAAATGAGCTTTGACCTCTGCATAATTATCAGGTTTTTCGTGAACAACAAGATATGTAGCAACTGTTAAATTGGTTTGATTAATACCTTCTTTTGTTATTTATTCATAGCCCAAGCCAGTTTACAGACTCAAACACAGTCAGCTTTGCTTGGGCCTGGACCGGGTGGATATGTGCCAGGCTTACAGTCTTTGGGAGGACAGAATGCAGCCAGCCTTCAAGCAAATGCTGCTTATCAACTCCAGCAGCAACAGGTCATGGCTGCACAACAAAGCTCGCTACAGGTAACTATAACTTGTAAAATTTATTGATATCAATTATTCAGTCCTGCCTATAATTAGTGATATCACAGCTTCAAAATTATTGCCCCATTAGACCTAGCCTCACGGCCGTCCCGAAGAGGGGGACGACGTGACTGACATTTTTGTCGATTTTGAGATATCATTTGGGAGTACCTATATTAAACACATCTGATTTACCTGTGAAACTTTCATTTCTTAATAATGAGTTGTTTTGGAAATAGCACCACCTATCTTTAAGCACAAAACTTAAAATTTAGTGATTTTCCGTGGCAAAACAACGTAACTACAAGATTACGCTGCAAAACCAACTTTATTCAAAAATGTTCTTGAGCTGATGGAGTTTGGCAAGGCAAATCAAATGGTTATTGGTGTTGTATGAACAGGCTAGGTAATGCATATGATTACCCCAAACGTGATAAATCCCAAAATATGTCGTACTTACAACAATACCGAGCCTGACATGTTTCGGTGGCAAAACAACGTATCTGTAATTATCGCTAATAACCTTGCAATAAACAAATGGTTGTAATTAAAATTTTAAATATAATCACAATGTCTATAGATATACAATCCTGCAAAACTTGAAAAGGCTACGACAATTTCTTACGAAGTTACGAACATGAAAATTTTAACTCTATTTTTCTCCAAAAGTGAAAATTTCAAGTTACGTTGTTTTGCCACGGAACGATCGCTGTGTCCAGCTGTAGATAAATAAGAGGGGAGAACATCAGAGGCTGGGTTGCCCACCCACCATAACTACATCCCAACTTGTCTGACAAAAATATTCAAGTACCAGCTGTGGGACTGGTGATGTTTTCTCTAACCACCTGTACAATGTTATTTCATTTCTCATTGACATATTATTCTACTTCTGAGCTATTTCTAGTTCCATTCAGTTACTCATCAATACCTGTTGAGCATCTGGATGCGACTACAGTGATGGGGATGTGTCCTAATAAAGTTATATTTTTACATTAGATTGAATAACATTAGTCAAGAATCATTGTTGATTTTAGAATTGACATGCTTGTGTGTGTTGCTTTGCAGTCCATGGGACATGGCGTTGCAGGCAGCGGTGGCCAGTTGACAGTTAGTTACCCTACTCAGAGGGTAGGTCAGCCAACTCAGCCTAAACAGCGGGTTTTCACCGGTACCGTTACAAAGCTACACGATACCTTTGGCTTCGTCGATGAGGATGTGTTTTTTCAAATAAGGTGGGTCAAAGTTTAAATGCATTCTGGCAATATATTGCATAGAAGCATCATATACAAATGTAGATAATGTAATCTAATTAATTAAAATACAATCCATAATAATTACAGCCAATTTTTCCAAATGTTTTTAATTTTGATTTTCCCTTCTGTTCTAGCTGTGTAAAAGGTACTATGCCGAAAGTTAACGATCGTGTTTTAGTGGAGGCATCGTTTAATGCAAATATGCCGTTTAAATGGAATGCAACACGAATACAGGTTTTACCAAGCCAGGTCAGTAGAATGCAAGCCACAGTGAACAGACAGAGACATTGTGGGCTGAGACACTTGATTATCAAGACCTAGTTTTATTTAATTCACAACATAACTAGAACAAATATTGCTTCCATTTGCTATATGGGGCTTGCCATGTTAAAACCAGCGTCAGAGACCAAAACAAGAAAATTGACTTTTTAATATATTCATATTCTGCACACTAGAGTATATGAATATATTAAAAAGTCAATTTTAATATATTCATATTGTCAAGCCACAGGGCTTATCCCCAGTAGTGTGAAGCGGATAAGAGTGTGATGCTTCCCCTGGGTGGGATGCTGGCCCACCTCAGGTTACTCCCAGCAATTTGCTGGTACCCATTAATACAACTAGGTAGACTGAAGCAATGTAGATAAGGTGCCTTACTCAAGGACACATGTGAAATATACAGCGAAGGATTGAAACCCTGATCTCGAGGTTGTTAAACCAAACTATTTCCACTACGCCAAACCACCTCTAAAGCTCTCTAGCTTTACAATGATGGGTCATTTAATGAAATCAACTTTCTATTGCCAAAGTTATGAGTAAAAAAAGTATTACAGCTTCTCTGTACTAAAGTATACCATACTGCAACTTTCTTATGCTAATTACTCAGCATTTAGCAAGCCTCATATAATTAAGATATAAAAAAAATTAGATTTTTATTTTATAGGGTCCAGCGATGAGTGGTGGAAGTCTTCGTGGTCTCGGGCTTGGTGGAAGCAGTCAACTCAACCCATCTAATATCCCATCTCTCCTCTCAACTCAAATTGGAGGTAGTTATGCAGATACATTGTTTATTTATTAATTTTACAGTATGCAATAATAATGTTTCTATGTTTCTAGCATAGAACTTGACTGGTAGTAATCGATTGAACAATTTTCAAAGTAAAATAACAATTCGTTACGTTAACATACAGGAATGTCGCAGCAACATTATTTCGTTGGAGATTATGTTGACCTTGTAAATACGTAATCATGCTTCTACAAAACACCAAACTCTATGATGATTGATTAAATTTATTTGGTTCATAAAAATACAATTATTTATTTTCACAGAAATATATCATCTGATTTGTTTTATGTTTTTAACATTTTATTCAAACAATTATATTTTTCCACAAATCCAGATACAACCTAACGACCTTTTAAAAAACTTTGCGACCTAAACATGGGTAATGAACCATGGGTTGCCGACTGTAAGATTAGGTTAATTATTGATTTATATAAACCAATTGGGTAATTTTTTTGTGTTTAGCTCCTCAAGTTATGATGTCGAATTCTAGTCGTCTAAGTAGCCAAAACTCTCGTAGACGAGATACATCATTTCGACGTGATGAACGAAGAGATGAACACCGGGATCGTGCAAGAGACAGACCACGCAGGGAAAGATCTCCTGTAAGAAAGCGGTCTCGTTCACCACGCCGTTCAAGATCTCCACGTAGATCTCCCAGAAGAACTCGCAGGGCAACACCCAGATATATCGTACAGATAGCACGTCATGTAATCAATACGTAAGTTTGCATCAGTTATGGAATTTTTCAGTTCAGTAATTGGATTAATAAATGCTTAATATTAACTTAATTATGAGAAAACTATTAATTTTTTGACATAAATTATAATTATTTTTATTTTTAAATGTTTACGATGGTGAATACGCTAACAATGCTAACATATAAAATTACTTTAAAACAGTTTTCATTATCAACTGGGAAATTGAAAAAAAATTTATATGACATTTTTAGTTTATTTTAAAGAGTTGATGTATTCAGTTATCAAATCTCTATTTTACTTTTGTAGGTCAATGGCCAATGTTTTACAACTGAGAGGGCGCTACAGCAATATGTACACCCCAAGCGATTTCTACGAAGCCAAGCTGAACTGGCTGGATGCATTCCCGATTGATAAATCCATCTCTCTTGATAATCCTTGTTTTTTCCATGTTATGCACAAGGAAGTTGATCCATTGAAAAAAATTGAAAGTCAACTTGAACCATCGGATTCTAGTCATTCATATCAAGCAAAGGTAATATTACTCATCCTCTGCTTTTGCCTTCTTTGTTTGTTTTTATTGTTTTTATCACACACATATAAAATATAAATTAATTAATGATACATATTACAATTAACATTACATTTTCTAAACAAAAGCAGAGAGAGAAAAAAGAAGTGTGAGGTAGGAGGTCAAAATAAGTTTGTAAAACAAACTTTTAAACATGACCACTAGTTAAAACAAATAATAATAATAATAATAATAAAAATAATAATAATAATAATAACAATAATAGCAATAACAATAATAATAATAATAATAACAATAATAATAATAATAATAATAACAACAATAATGACAAAATAAAGAATATATATATATATAGATAATATATATATATTATATATTGCTTTGTTGCTGCTCTGTCTTTTTTAAAGTTCTTTGCAGTTTCTTTGTAATGTAATGTAATAATAATAATCTTTATTTATAAAACCCAAAACAATATCCGTTAAATATGATCACAATCTTCCACCTATTTCACTAACAAGCATGTCCAGTGCCTGATGATATATCTTGCCTAATTCTCAAAATGATTCTTTTTACAATGTGTAGCTGCTCTGCAGGATTTGAACTTTGAACAAGACCTTCCCACCCAACCCAATGTATTACTGTTCGCTTTTAAATTTCAGGTTATGCTAATGGCCTCTGTGTCATTGGAAGATTTTTACGAACGCTGTTGCGGACGTGCTGATGATCCACCAGACATCCGCGATAGCTTTCAACATCCGACACGCCTCATCAACTTTCTAGTGGGGCAGAAAGGCAAGAATGAAGTGATGGCCATCGGGGGTCCATGGTCACCGTCACTTGACGGTGAGAATCCTGAAAGTGACCCCAGGGTGCTTATCAGGACCGCTATTCGTACCACCAAAGCACTCACTGGTATTGATCTAAGTGGGTGTACCCAATGGTAAGATTATAATTTATTATATCTTGCATATAATCTTATATATTTTATTAAGTAGCATATATTTAATATGGAATGTATTCTTGTGCATGAAATGAAGACTGATAACTACCTTTTGGTTGTGTCCAGACTATCAATTGTATTTGATACAAAAAAACTGTTGTATGCCCATATATGGTCATGATGTACCTATATATGGTGATGATGTGATGTCATCATGACCATATTTAGGCATGTCACATGTTTTTGATAAATATAATGTGGTTGTCTGGACAGGTATTTACTGTAGTATAATTTGTCAAAGCTTACCCCAAATCTGTTAAAGTAGTCCTTGATATCTTGGCTGGGCCTGGCCTAAATTTAGTTTAAATAGAATTTTTTTCAGATCTAGAATAGGGTGAGTATAACTTCTATTCACATTGCATTCCCCAAATATTTCTGAGGATATTAAATACATTTTTAGATACAATTTTCAATGCCCAATCTGGTTTACTAAGATTGATTGAAATTTCCTCTCAATAAGTTGCCCCTCAACAAAGTATAATAATTCCTTCCCTTGTGTTTATTTTCTGTCTATGTGGTTGTTAAAGATGAGCAACTGAATACAAATACTTATTAGGTCTTATTTAATATTGATGGTCATTATTTTACATCTAGAATTCATGAACTTAAAAATTTTCCACAAGATTAATTAAAGTGTAATCCAATTTTTCATGTATTAATTTATTGTAATTGTAACTCTGTTTATGTCATCACATTTTTACACAAATACCATGTTTGATAAATGCTGATGTACCAGTTTGTTAAACAGAACACAAGACATCAGTTTTGTTATGTTTGTGTAATGTGTAAAGCAATAGTAATAAAGAAATCAAACAAAAAAAAAGCATTAAAACCAGGCCCTATACTAGTATAGGGTCTTGGCTTGTTAGTGGTTAGCTCTTTATGGCTTCATCCTTAACCACTCTCCATGGCAGGTTCCGTTTCCTGGAAATCCGGTACCAGCGTGCGGAGGAGACCCACAAAGGCAAGGTGATCCCAGCACACGTGGAAACCACCGTTATTTACCTGCCGGATATCTGGCAGGTGGTTCCAACCAGGGAGGAATGGGAAAGCATGGCTGAGGCATATAAGCAACAGTTTGAGAGCAAAATTGCTGACACACCGCCGGACCCAGTACAGGACGACACCCAGGCACTGACAACTATTTCCGTTTGTTTACTTTTTTGTTGCCATTAGCAACGTATAACCGTCTTCTTTTTCTTTTTAGTCTCAGTAGCATAAAGAGAAGGCAGAATGTGAGGAAGTTGTTTGACAATATTCCACATTTTAAAACATCTGGACATTTCTTATCTTCATTAACATTAGCATGTGAAGGGAGATAACATATATTATCTGTGTTAATACATTGGACCCGTTGATGCCTGTCTTATAGTAGAAATCAACACTAACCACTTTCATAGAACAACAACATAATGATCTCACTTTGATATTTAGGAAACTGTATGTATGTTTGTATGTGTTTATCGGGGGTGTGAACACAATACTCTGGACTCCTGCTGTGAAACTACAAAACAAAAGAGTAGGCGCCACAACTTCTGAGATGTAACCAAAGATACACACTTTTGTCATTTTTGCCTACAGACAAATTATTTGAGCCAGCCATCTTGGATCCTGATTGATTTTTCGGCTCCTTTGCCCATATGTAGTAGAAAAGAACTGGCTTTAATTTTGGTTCCGTTGCTTTGCAGGTTGTGCTTATTGTTAATAACCAAAAGCTGTCTCCTGTAAAATGAAATATCAGCCCTTGGACATCAATCTTAAATCTATACACTATACTTATAATTTATACTGGTGGAGTAGATTGACATGTAGCAGATTATGTTTTACAGAATTCACTCGCTTCATCTTTAACATTATAAAAATTTAAAAAATAACAACACTTTTATTAAGAGGAAGTTTATTAAACAACTCTAATTTAAATCAGGACAGTTGAAACAGGACATCTGTCTCCCATCTTATCCAGAAACAGGTGGTCCATGGGGAGTAGATTTTACAAAAACATAAAAAGCACCCTTTATTACACCTGTGCTGTAATAATTTTAACATGTTATTTTGATTCTCATGTAGGAGGAGACTGCTGAGGAAGACAATGTTAAGATGCCAACACACCATAGCCAGCTGGATCCTAAAAACATGAAGGTGTGTATGAATGTTAACTCCTTTTCTATTATTTATGTACCATTAAATCATAATAAAAATTAATTCTTAATATTCATTACTACATTTTGTGAAGTCGCTAACAGCTTTTAAATTGTCATTGCACTGCGTAGCTGTCCCGGATGCAATTGGGAACGCTACTTGATCCAACTGACCAATCAGCATTGCCAAAGGAATTGGCAATTGCGTGTAGTGATTTTATGGAAACCAGGCTTTACTTGCAGCCTTGTCTGACATCTCTTTGGTGTTGAGGTTGCCATGCATCTCCAATAAATCATCTTTCATACATAAAATCTACTTTTTATTAGGATGTGAGTTTGTGTCAGGAAAATATCATAGGAGTAATGTTTTTCCCTACCTGACATGTTATCATACCGAATACTCGGTATATCCCCAAATACTAGCGAATTTGTTTCACTAGTATTTGGGGCGGTACTGAGTATTTGGTACGATAACACGTCAGGTAGGGAAAAACATCACTCTTAAAAATGCACTTTTATTATAATTATCAGGATGCAAATGAAATGATTCCAAGAACAGTAAAACAAAATTAACTGCCATCAAACTGCAAATACACAAGTTATACAATGAAATGGATGCTTTGTAAATTTAATCTCTTCATAATCATAATATTGACATGGAAGTGCTGATGAGGGAGGGTCAATGGAAAAGTGAGGGAAAACTGAATGGAAAAGTAAGGCAATTGGTGATTTCAACAACTGTAATTTTATTGCTCACCAATTTTTTTGGGGTGGGGGATACACATTTTCTAGTGTTGTGTGTGTCTGTATGTTGTATGCTCGTTCCCCCACCCAAGATATCGCTCTATGCTCCTTCCACCACCCAGGATATAACATTGGTTGAGATGGGTCGAATTATTTTTAATCAAGTGAAATGCCATATATACAGGATTTGAACATTGGGCATTTAAAATAAGTTTATCCACCAAATTTGTTTTTACTACTAATAATTTCAGGTTAATGAGCTACGTCGTGAACTTGAGTGTCGTACATTAAACCCGAAAGGTTTGAAGTCGCAGCTTATAGCTCGTCTTACGAAAACACTAAAAGGAGAGGCAGATTTAGAACAACAAGCTGAAGAGATTAAAGACAAAGAAGAGGAAGAGGCTGCGGAGGAAAAAGAGAAAGAAGATGAAGGAACAAAAGAAGAAGAAGAGGAAGTTGATACCAATAATACTGTTGTGGTGAATACTTCATTCTTTCCTTCAAATTTGTTGTGACCACTACTAGTGTCTAGTCACTAATTGTATCTATTAACAGAAGCTTATATATTGCCGTTCTTATATTATTTCCTAGACTTTTTTAAAGTAGCTGTATTCAATTTAAGGATTGTCCGGTGATGAAATTTCAGTGTTTTGGTTTATATTTTTTTGGTTTTTTTCACTTTTTATTAGTCTGTATGTCTTAAAATATTACATTTTATGTTGTGTTTTTGAAACTGTATAGGATGAAGAGAAGAAAAAACGAGAAGAGAAGGAACGGCAAACTCGTGAGAAACGATATGTGTTGCCTGAGACGCCATCAATTGTCGTGCATCCTTCAAGCACTGCGAAGGCCGGCAAATTTGAATGTACTTTGATGTCTCTAAGTGTTCTATTAGATTACTCTCTAGAGAACAACAAGGAAGCCTCCTTTGAAGTAAGTACTAAACAATTACTGGTAACGCCTAATTTGGCGAGTCGAATGGCCGAGTGGTTATGGCAGGGGTGCCACAATCTACAGCCATAATATCGGCGCTGGTTCGAATGGTACACTCGTCTGTGGTTCTGGAGGTTTTTTTCTTGGATAAGGACTATAACCGGTAGGCCCAGTGTACAGTTGGTTCCTGTGCACTATAAAGAACCCAGAACATCTTTCAAGATGAGTAGGGGGTTACCCTGGTGTACTGGTCCATGCAACCCTGGACTCAAGACACGAAGAAACCCTTAGGGGAGAAGAAAGTCTCTGAAATAGATATATCGTCCATGCTTTGAGTGCTCTGATCTCCATGAAATAGTGCTATATAAATGCTGTAATGTGTGCATTTGATGTGTTAATATTTATTATAATTTTCCTAAATTTGGCTCCACATGCAGGTACTTTACACTTCAGAGCCGACATCCTTTGTGAACGGAGGCAGTAATTACTAGGAATTTTTACACTCTCTCCATGAAATTTGACATGAAGTTCAAAGGGGAAGCTGAACTGGAGGCCCAATATCCCTGTGATTCTAGTATGTCAAGAGGTACCCACTTTTATGTTGGGCCATCATCCCATGGTTTCCTCTTGTATAATGTCGAATTTGCGATAAATAAATAAATATGTGAAGGGAGTTCATGGCGCATTAGATTGCTTTTATTTAGACTGATTTAATTTTGATCAATTTAGTTTTGGTTTATTTCCATTTTGATTGATTTATTTTAGTAAATTAATTTTTTTTTTTTTTATAAAGGTTTCTCTAGTTGCTGAGCTTTTTAACGAGATGCTGCAGAGGGATTTTGCTTTCCAAATATACAAAGCTCTCCTCCAAGCACCTGAAAAGAAAGAAGAGAAAAAGAAAGAAAAAAAAGATGATAAGGTAAACCTTTCAAAGTATCTTACTGAAGAGCATGGTAATCCTTTGGTTCATCAAAGATTGCAACCTTCAGTACTTTTTCTTGTCAATTTGTAAACATAATTTTGAAGACTTTTGCAAGAAGACTCTAGTTCAAATTCCTAAGCCTTTTTCCATATGCTAACAAGTTGTCATGTTGTCTTTTGATATTTTGATGTTGTTTTGAACTAACCCTTCAAATCGATCCTTATATTAACCAAGGAAACTAAAAGTTTGTCCACACTGAGTATCAAGGTTATATGGCACATATCTGTGATTTGCCCAAATATGTGCATGATGATTTCATAATGCTGTATATTATCTGCTAAACTGACTGCTAAAACTGCTGTTTTAGCAGTCATTGGTTGCTATAGTAATTTTGAACACGTTAGCTGCATGTACATTAGCAGTGTGTATGTGGATTGTTGCTGCAGTATCCCTGCATAGAACTGTAGTAGTACTGTACAGTATAATGAATAAATATATGCTTTGATGTTTCTCTGAATACGGGATTCCTTATTTTGAAAATAAATAAAAATATAGAAAAAAAATATTTGAATGTGTTTGACAAATTTGTCTGTCACCTTCCCTGATAGACATTAATTTGTCCAAAAAAAAGCAAAACTTACATTGAGCTTTTGGAAAAATAGTAACTTTTTGCGTTGTGATTTCATTTAGTTAGAAGGACTTCTACATCCATTTTGAATAACGAAGTCTCAAATATTCATATTAAATATTCAGTTTATCAGGGTTTATTGATTCAAGGAAGTCCTTTTCATTTTCATTTGGGCAAAATATTGAATTTGAAGTGACATTCTTCGTGTCATGTATTGGTTTTTCAAATTTCATGTCAACAAACGATGATTTGGCGAGCGTCTACCCTGTCTTTCCACTTGCTGAGGCCAGTGTCGTAGTGCTTAGGTGTAAAAATTTCTAAGCTTGGCATAGAATATTATTTGCGGTGCACGATACATAACACCTTTTTCTTTTACCTTTTACACACAAACGGCAAAAAGAGTTATGCGGACCAAAATTAGTGCATGGTTTGGGATAGGGATATAACTATTGACCTAAAATTTTCGTTCTGAACAAAAGGATAAAGATGACGGTAAAGATGAACCTAGTGGAAAACGACGTCGTGTTTCTGAACCAGAAGGTGAAAAAAAAGACTCGGAAAAAGAAAAGGTGAGTTTCTACAATATATAATTTTTATGGCTGTGGTACACAGTTGTTAGCTATAATTTATTTTTTTGTAAAGTTTTTGAGCAATCATTAGGCGTGATTCCCAGAATGAAGATAATAAATTTAGGGGCACAGTGTATAATGAAAAGTAATTAGTAAGATAAAATAATGTATTGTTATTCTTGTTGACCACCATAATACTTTTTTTGCAGATAAATGACGACGATAAGGATGATGGAGATGAAATGGATGACAGAAAATCTGATGATGATGAAAAAGGTGAAAGGTCAGATAGAGGTAAGGCAAAATACTGTTTGTGTGCTGTGTACTCATTGAGATGTGTGGTAATACTGGTACTGGTATAGGCATTTATAATGCGCCTCCTCCTTGAGGTTATAAAGCGCTGGTAATCAGCGCAGGAGCAGCAACCCCACCAGTTACCCATTTATACTCCTGGGTGGAGAGAAGCAATGCAGATAAAGTGCCTTACTCATAGACACAAGCGAAATGTACATCGAGGAATTGAAACCTCAACCTTGATGTTGGGAAACCAAACCACTCCTGTTGCGCCAAACCGCTTTCGCTTCTAATATGGGTACGTTATTGCTGGCAACCACACCTTAGGCAACATGACTCTTCCTTGATCGCTTTGGGGGTAGCTCTTGTAGTAGCACTAACGCATGCAGCACTTCCTTAAATGTGTTTCAACTCCAGAGGCCTATGATTTTTCTCGAAGCCTAGGCTAGGCCTATTTACCTGTTTATCTGTACTATAATACTAAATTACTAATGAGCAAAAATGTTTCAAAATGGAAAGAGAAAGAAATGTTGATATTAAAAACAAGTCTTGCATTGTAAAAAGTTATTTACGTACAGTAATTAGCAAAAGAATGTGTGTACTGCAGATATGCAGCCATAGAGCTATTAACAACTGGAGTGCTAACTAGGCTAATGAAGCAATGCCGAGTCATAATAATAATGATAATGCAGTCATTTATAGAGCGCTCTTATCAGTGATATCATAGCTTTTTACAAAACAGATAAAAAGATAAGAGTAGTGTATGTGTTCTCATAATGTGGAAGTGTTTAACACGGTGGTTGAGACTCAACTCTCAACCTCTTAGTCAGGGTTCGAAACTCTCGCTGTGCAGATCGCTTGTGTTCTTTGGCAAGATACTTTATCTGCGTTTGTCTCTCTCTACCCAGGAGTATGAATGGGTACCAGCATAATGCTGGCAATGTAAACACACTCGCTGTAAAGAGGAGTGGCGATCCCCTCTGGCCCCCAGCGCTTACGAAAGAGGGATGGGCACTCCGGACCAGCACAGTTTCGACTACCTTTACCTCTCAACAAGATGGCTCGAGTTTTAAACATACAACTTAGTTGTACTCAAAACTTTAATGTTAAATTGCTTAGATGTATTTTGATTGGCTGGATCTACGCCAGCCATCTTGTCGAGTGTACACTCAGCTTTGCGTTGGAGAATAGCGCTCTAGTATTTTCATTATAACTCTATGGCTTAAAGACCTTGATGGTGCTATTTCAAAATAGACACGATAAAATGGTGTATAGCAACCATAACATTTTTCAAATGAATCCCATCATGTAATCTTTTTCTAATGCACTGACTTCTTGATTTAACTACAATTTTCATGTTTACGTCAATAAATATTTAGATGAAAAGAAAGATGACAAGAAAGAGGATAGGAGTCGCTCACCCTCTCGTCGACGGGAGAAGGAGAAGGAAAAAGACAAAGACAAAGTTAAAATGGAAACAGTGAATCCTGACCTTTTGTTAGCCTGTGTTTACTTTGATCAGAGTCACTGTGGATACCTCCTTGAAAAGGACTTGGATGATATTTTGCACACGATGGGGTTAAATCTATCACGGTCACAGGTATGTTGATATACAGCCTGAAAAAGTAAACAAATTAAATATATTTTTATGAGCACTGTAATTTGGTACACCAACTTTTTATTAGTTCCTATGCATGTAATGCAATAGGAACTATTGTAATCACTCTTGCTATTTCCTATGTTTTTTATTGTGTGTAGTGTGTGTATGTGTGTGTGTAGACATTTATGCAAATGCGCATGCGTCAAAGAAAAGCTTTCCGACATTTTGTTTTACATCGCGATGCGAAGATCGATGTGAAGTTTCTGCAGAGTTCAGTCAGGGCTCACGCTAACTGACCGGAATGTTGGCATGGATGAAACTATTTTGGTTTTACGGCAAAAAAATCATCTGCTGTAGGCATAGGTATTTTGAAGAAGGCCTAAAATAAAACTAAAATGTTTTAATACTTGCTGAAATACATCGTTTCTTCATTTAGATCTCCATTTTTCACTTAGTCCATGCAACGTTTTTTTCTGTTGTATACGTATGAGTAGTCATATGAAGGTACTATATCCCCGACAGTTGGCTGTGCAGCAATGTACCCTTTGAATGCAAACTGAAAACAGGCGAAAATATAAAGGCAGCCGACTGTCGGGTACATAACGACTATCTAGCTTTCCACAAAAACATGAGGCCTAAGCTAAGCTAGGCCTAGTTCAGTATTACTGCGATGCAAGGGTAGGCCTAGTTAGATCGTTTAATCAATGATATCGTGTTATCGTCTAATACAATTAAATAATGTGTGT